AAATAACTTTTAGATCTTAAGAAGGCGCAAATTTTTGCTACAGAAAACTTGTCAATATCTTTCGCCGATCAAGAGTTTTTGAAGTTTTTATACTAAAAATATGCACTTTTCAAATGTTAATATCTCTGGTTGAGTCAAACAAAATTTTTTTTATAGCATTTAAAGGGCGTATGTTATTCTCAATAATATGAAAAAATTGGAGGCATGTTATATTTTAAACTCCTTTAAAATCAATTTAAATTTATTCATATGTTTTACTATATTTGGGTATATCTTTTTTATTAGAAGAGATACAGGCATCAAATCCAGCTATAAAACATTCGTCCCAAAGAGTTTTAAAAGTCTCTAGAAGATGACTTTCATGATAAATTTCTCACCTTTGCTGAGAAATTCAAAATAAGAAAACTAGAGCAAAACAACTGTTTTTTTTAAGAGCCACCCTAACCCATTTCTTGAGAATAGCTCTAAATCGGCCAATTTAAGAGATACAAAACAGTTGTTCTTTACAAAGTTGCTTGAAATTAGCTCAGCTATAACTTTGCCGAAAAATGTATACCTTAATTTATTCAAACAAAAAAGTTAGATTTTTGATTTTAATGATAATAGCAACCACCCTAGAATTCATTGTCATAAAAATGAGGGCCTAACTATAAGGAACAACTTTGTAGAAGAGACTTTTAGTCTAAAGCTTCAATTTCAGGCTCAAAACATATCGTTCCACCAAAATCTGCCTTCTGGACCACTGTGCAATGCTACCGACGACAGGGTGGCAGCTCTTACACCTGGACCCTACCAATCGACCCATCAACTCATGATCCGGCGACCAACGGCTTACTTCCCGTGATCAGAGATTGTATGCCTCAGAACATCCCGGTGGCGCCGACTTGGATTGAACCCAGGCCTTTTGGGGGTAAGAGGCAACCCGAACAAAGCTGGAGATCAAATTGAAATCAAAATTTGCTTTTATGGTGTAACTTATTTTGAATACTCCAGTTGATATCATTTCGGTTGACTTAACGGTTTACACAGCAAAAATGAGTGCAACATTTTACACTGTTGAATCAAACGGAAAATTAATCCTGCTTTCAATGAAATAAATTTGATTACAGATTTTGCATTCATAATGTATAACTGAGTACGGGCAGCGGCGCCGGTGGTGTAGTGGTAAGCGTGATTACCTCTCACTTCAGCAGGCCTGGGTTCAATACCAGTCAGCGCCGCCGGGATGTTCTGAGGCATAACATCTCTAATCACGCCTTCCTTCGGAAGGGAAGTAAAGCCATTGGTCCCCGGTTCATGAGTTGATGGGTCGATAGGTAGGGTCCAGGTGTGGGAGCTGCCTCTCTGGAGTCGGTAGCATTGGTGCTCAGCACGGAAAACAAGATCGACGGAAAACAAATCAAGGAAAAAAACTGAGTACGGGCCTGGCGTAAATGGTTAGCATCCATGCTTCACGCTGAAAGACTTGAGCTCAAATCTCACCCCGGTCAAGTTAAAAATAACCTAAAATGTGTTAACAACGTTGCCAGATTGTTAACATGATTATCGGTTTCAAATGATTAAAAAATCGGTATTTATCGATATTCACTATTTTAATTAATTTTATTTTTTTCAAACTTTTGGCCTAACATCAAACTTTCCATGTAAGTCGGAAGAAACTTCTGGGAAATATTTGAATTAGTCTCTTTATGACACCGACAAAACTTCCAAAGGAAGAATAAAGAATATCTTGTGGAGAAAGTTTGAAGGAAGTTCAAAAAATATCTAAAAAAACATCGGATGGGGATCTTCCTAGGCAAATATTGAGAAAATTCTTACTTAAATTTCTAGAAACTTTCGGAACAAATCCAGAAGTCAGAAAAGTTTGGAAATCGGAAGCCAATCCTGGAGGAGTCATTTCCAGGAGAAGTTAGGAGAAGCTCGGAAAAACCTTCCAATAAGTCGGAAAAAAAACTACGGAGAGTGACTTATGGAGAAACTTCCAGAGGAAGACGAAAAAAACTTCTGGGAAAACTCGATAGATACATTCGGAAGAAATTTCCAGGAGACACTTGGAGAAACTTCTTAAGGTAGATTGGAAAAAGTCGGACGCCAGAGTGCTTACGGAACAGTTGAAAGATACTTCAAGGAGAAGATGGGAAAATATCTAGAATAAATTGATTTCTGGGGGATGTAAGCACAATATTCCCTGAAGTTCGTCACAAGCTCTATTGATCCAGCAATTTTCCTGATATTCATAAAACATCCCTGAAAATCCCACAATGTCCCACAATTCCTGAATTGTTCTTCGAAATATCCCATAATTCTTCGGAACTTTTTGAAAGTTCTTGCAATTTTCCTAAAGTTAATGGGGCTGTTTTGAAGTTCTCTGATCATCCTTAAAGTACTCGTAATTTTCCTGGTTATAATGGAACTACTGGAAAATCTTTTATCTTCTTTATAAGTCCCTGAAATTTCCTTTAGCGCTTTAATTTTTTTTTACGTTGGACTACGTCTGTGATTTCCATATGGGGGTACACTTTGTGAAAAACCAAAAATGGAACATGTAGCAAAATTATGAAAGATTTAGAACGTTAAATACTCAGCTGCCCCGTGACCAATTTCAATAGTTTTATCACCAATGGACCAGAAATGTTTCTACGCATCTGTTAAATTAAAGACTTTATAATTTTTCAAAATGTCAATTTTGAAAATTTCATGAATGTGAAATTGTAGCTATAATAATTAAAATTATCACCGATTGCCTGCGAAAAGCGATTTCCCTAACACAGATTTCAAAGTTGAATTCCATCCGGTCTCACCAAACGGTGTGCTTGTATTATCTTTTCAGACTTTAGATAACCTCAACATTTTGCCTGATTCTCCCCTTTTATTCAAGGAAAAAAAGTAATATCATATGATTATACGCCACATTCATATTAAACCCTCAGGTATTATCCTACTGAAAACATCTAATGGTGATAGTCGGAGGCGAACCAGCCTAAGGCTGAAAGCCTCCTAAATAAAGCTAAATTAATTAATTAATCTAATGGTGATAGTCCCATCTTAAGTGAACCTCGCATACCGTAGAAATATCATTCAATAGCTTTATGTGTCACAGGTTTCTCATAATATCAGCATCCACATTAAGAACTTCTGCAAAGTTTTTTTAATCAGAGAGAAGCCTTATGGCCATGTTTCCATTATTGGAACTTCCGCAACCTCCAATTTTCGGGCGGTTTACGTGCATCTTGAAATGCCCTTCGAATTCTTATCACTGACTACTGGTTTTTAAAAAAATATCGAAAATAAGGAACTAGGGGTAAAAGACTAAAATGTATAGTCTTCACAGACTGGTGATGTATGAAACCATTTTTAATGGATTCTGCAGATGTTTTTCTACAAGACTGATAATATTCCAGAACGTACATTCCCGATCATAAGTTTAAAGACACCCCAAAAAAACATGACAAATTTGTTATGTTCATATCTCTGTCATGTTACATCCAATTTTCGTTCTCTTTAGATCATTTGAAAGGTATTGAATGGAAATTTCCTGGTAAGAAAACCCAAACTTACAAAATTTTTCAAAATTTACTCTGAAGAATCGTGACTGATTTTCTCAGAATTGGGTTGGCTAAGTTTTGAAATAAAAGTAGTAGTAGAACACTCATGCTAGTAGAACACTATTCATACCATTCAAATAACCTTTGGAGATCGAAAATTGAACGTTAAATAAGAGCTCATTGAACAAAACATATTTGCATGGTTTTTTGGGGGAGTCCTGAAACTTATGACGGTAGTGTATATTAACCACAATGAGGCTTTTTTAAGTAATTCATACAAAACTTAAAGAAATTTGAGTAAAATGCTCCAAAAACCCCATTCTGCACAGGACGAAACTATTTCCAGTGGATTTCTGAGACTTTTTTTCCTATAAGAATGATTATATTTTGATCTACGATTGGGCCCATCGCTAAAAATCTGCTATTTATCACGGTACTAATGGATATTTTTGGTCGCTATTGAAAATTTAGTCGATTGCAGAATTTATGTATTGGCCCAAATTAGAGGCATTTAGGCCGACATTACATCCATTTCCCCTATGTACTTGTGTTCTTTTTATTTTGCTTATTTTGTTCAACGTTTCTCTGCAACTATGGTATAGATACTGAGTTTTTACGCCGAAATCCTAAAGGAAAAGGCTTTTACCCATCATGAAATAAATAAATAAATGTTATATTGATCGTTAGAAAATAAAATCGCGTAAAAACAGAATCAGGTAAATTTGTACTGATGAATAATTAATTCAACGTATCTGCATTCACTTGCAGAAAACAGTTTTTGCGTTACTCCCAATTCTCGTCGGTAAAGATATAGATATGGTGCAAAATTTTATTTGTTTTGGCAACACTTGTTGTATTATCTACGATCACATTTATTAGTTGCGTTCAACGCATATTTTAGCAGCAATATGTTTTCAATACTTACTACTGGAACTGGTCAGGACGACGTTACCTGTAAAGAATAAACATAAGATTAATGTTAGGTGAGTCCGAATCCTTAATGCAACTACACTTTAATCTTAAGTTATAGAAAAAAATAGACTCCCCTTACAGCCAACTGCAGACCCGCAGCAATCCCTAGAGCCCAATCGAGCTTACACCAGTCAAACCACAACAATTCATTAAGCAAACCTCAACCTACGTCCCAATCAAAGTTCTGCTTTGAATGATAATTAATTCTTTCCTATGGTCGTCGTTGTCTCCAATGATAACCCCTTGGGTTTCCCCCCTTTCAAGCATCAACCACGCCGCCGCAAACGTAAGAAAGAATAACCTATATCTTGTCCCAAACACACACGGGCCCACCACATCGAAAGGTGTTCGATTCTCCAATCATACACACCATTTACACGTCACACGGCGCAGACGGATGTAGGTCTATCGAAATATAAAAGCGCCCAGCCCAACCGCAATTTAGTCCAGTCAACAAGTTTTGCGGCTAGCCTCGCACGTGTGCTGATTCAAACTTTGAATTAATTTCGAAGCTCAGTGGGAAGAAAATCAAAAGTTAGAATGGTTGGCCGTACAGTGCAAGTGGTGTTGACTTTGCTGCTGCTGGTCCAGATTCTGGCGGTGGCAGCAGCAGAAGAAGAAGGTTAGCGTTCTTCGATTTAGCGTGTAGTAGTGTGGTTGTGGTTTTTGGGGTCTGCTGTCCCCATCCATTCCCGAAACCATATGCTGAGAGTGCCAATTTTCGCCCTTTTCGCCATCAGAGTCCGATCAGAGGATGCATCCGCAGTCCTTTATGTTTGCAACGACGACAAGGCAGAAGCGTTCCTCGGGGAAGCTGCCAAAGCTTCGCTTTCAACCGGCTGACATCGAGCGGCACCAGGACTACTGGAATAACGTGGCCCAGAGCACGTTGGCCCGGCAGTTAGGCAAAAATCAACTCAACACCGAGGTGGCCCGGAACATCATCATGTTCCTGGGTGACGGTCTTTCGATACCGACGTTGGCCGCCACCCGGGTCTTCCTGGGGGACGAGAGCACCGAGTTGTCGTTTGAGAAATTTCCCTACGTCGGTCTGTCCAAGGTGAGTGTGAGCGGTTGTGGCTGCTGAAATATTCAATACGTTGACGTGGTGGGCGAAGTAAGATGTTGTAATCCGATTTATGTTCTTGTCTTTTTTGTGGATGCATTTTGCTCTATCTCTCGCTAGACATACTGTGCTAATGTGCAGGTTGCGGACTCGGCCTGCACGGCCACTGCATATCTTGCGGGAGTGAAAGCCAACTACGGAACCATCGGTCTGTCGGCAGCTGCCACGCTGGGGGATTGCCACGCTCAGAACAACACCGACTATCACGTCCAGTCAATTGCTAAATGGGCACAAGACTACGGTATGGCAACCGGTACGTATACAGTTGAACTCATGACAGTCCGGCTGTCATTTACTCCAGACCGACGTCATCGGACTCCGTCAATCATTCATCACAAGTCCGAGAACGAAGCCAATCTTTTGGCTTGTTTGCTCTTGCCACACCATCCAACTCACCCACTTTGCGTCGTCTTTTCTCACCACACGCACCATTCAGTCAGACTCTACCCTATTCTCGTAAGCAAATTAATTGACACAAATTCTTCTTTTGCCATGTTCTGCTGTGGGAACCGTCAAAACAAAAAACATTTAAAAAAAAAAACAGGTTTCGTCACCACCACCCAGGTAACGAACGCCTCGCCCGCAGGTGTGTACGCAAATACGGCCAACCGCAACTGGGAAAACGATGCCAACGTCCGGGATGACGGATTCGATCCGAACGTTTGTTCGGATATTGCCACCCAGCTGATCCACGGGGACGTTGGACGACGACTGAAGGTATGTACTTTATGTCTGGCCCAAGGAGTTTGTCATTTGGTTGCGGAACTGTTTGCAATGTCTCTTTAATTGTGCTTATGATTGGATGGTTTTGGGGAAGATGGATTTCGGTTTCACTTGAAATGAGTCAATTGCACTCTTTTCGCTTGATATGTGAGTTCATTTAAAGTTCAAAAACTTAGAATCGAGCGAAAATTTCGTAGTTCACGGTGTGAATTGGGAAAACTATTTTTACATGGCCATGGAATTTGAGGTTTGGGGAGTTTTGTTTTAATATTATCGGACAAAATGGGCCGAAAGGTTTCAGAATTTCATTATATTTTGATTATATCAAGGAAAAAAAATCAGAACATTCAAAACATGAACTATCCAAAAAAAATTAAATGAAGTTTTCTGATTTTCCTGGACATCAAATAATTTAAAAGTTAATAACTCATGAACCAAACATCTTAGAAAGGACGGTGTGTAATAAAATGATGAGGAACATATCTCAGCAATCCATAAAAAAAAATTAAAAAATGATTTCCTCGAAAATTCCAAAGATTTTCCCTGCGATTTTCCTTCAAAACATTTTTCAAATAGCGTTACGGGATGAAATGTCAGCCATTTCGCCCTATCAAGCAAATAACTCATTCTTTCATTTATTTATGAAAAACTAATATCACATCTGCTGCAAAATTCTAATCCGTAAATCAATTTCCTATTTTTGGGACAAATTTTGAACATTCATTGCCCTTTTCAAATAAAAAGTTTAGTGAACTTATCTTAATTTTCGATTTCAAGGCGCCATGATCTTGTCGTATTAATGCACTAACGAAAATCTACGCTTCGAGGGTCATTAAAAAATCGGATAATTGCATGAATTGAATAGACTTACCTTTTTGTAACATGCTAGCCTAATAATTCAACATCACACTTCTCATTCTTATTACAAATTTAGAAGATTTCACGCTTTATAGCGCTTTATCTCTATGGACCGAACTTTAGGGACATAATTTTGAGACGTGTTCCTAGTTATGGCCTACGAACTTTATTTGATAACTTTGTTTTGGTATTGGCACTTCTATAGGAAAATGCCATAAGCAAATGTCGGATTTCGTGGAACATAGCGGATCGTTTGTTATCCTTTCACTCCACTGAAAAATCCCTTAGGTAAAAAATTAATCTTTGCGTGAAAGGAGAGGTCGACACGGTACACACGCTATTTCCAAGCAACCCAAATTTGTAAAGGATTAGCATTAGCATTAGTATTAGCATCGAACAAGTTGCACAATATCGTAGGTGCTACGAATTCAAAGCTATTAAGAGCAAGACGGATATGTATAACTGGACAGATAGTTAGTAGGAAATAATTACTATCTCCCAGATAAAGACATATCCCGCTTCAACAGTTAAGGATTGTCCTGGCCACGTCCTTACAACTGGTAGGAATAGGAAATAGTCTAACATTTACTTAAAAGAGATGCAGAGAACTCTACGACCCCTCATAAATGTCTCGAGAATTTTATAAGTATGGAAGGTAAGCCATAGGAAACACCCAGTCAGTGTTGCTGGAAAATGTAGATTTTTTTAAGTGTTGAAATTGCTGTCCAGAACGTCTGCTGGAAGATAATAAGCTACCCAAATTTGAAAAGGATCTACTCATATTCGTCAAAAGTAGGGTACCCCAAATTAGGTAAGCAAAGTTTAAACAAACAAGATGACGAATGGAAAACATCGACCTGAATCCGAACGAAGTTGTTCATTTGTCATCTTGTCAGTTTCAACTTTGTTTGTTCAATTTAGTGTAGTGTAGGATGTGAGTAGATCCTACTCAAATTTGGGTTGCTTAGCAATAGCATGCAGTCAATCCTCCCATCAAAACAAACTTCATGGTAAATGAGACCACTCATATTTGAGTACCGTTTTTTCAAACTCGCAAAAGCGTAGGGCACTCGTAGAATGAGTAAATTTTTATCAAATATGAGTAAATTTCATTCAAATAGTGACATTTACTCATATATGAGTGGGATTTACTGGGATTTTAGTAAAAATTTACTCATATATGAGTAAACATTTATTTATTCTATGAGTAAGCCACGGTTTTGCTATTTTGAGTGAACGTGATTTGAATATGAGTTAGATTAATTTACCGTGCAAGACCTTCCAAAAACTATCAAGCTGAACAATGCATTAATAACTTGGCTACAAATCAGTTTCTTGTCGTGTTTGCCGTATTATAGGCTTAGATAATAGCTTCTTTTATCGAACTATGTGTTGAAAATAGCTGGAAGTGCCTATACATGCAAAGAGAAAATCTAGGAGCTTATGCATTGTTCAGCTTGCTAATACGTGACTTGACAGTTCGTTATATGTGTGTTCGTGAGATGATCTATTTGGCTTTATTTTTATTCTAAAAGCATAGTGATTATGTTATCTGGATCAACCGAAAAAACACTGCCTCTTTCATCCACATTAGTTCTTACGTGAGAAGTAAAAGTAACGTCAACAATGTGTTTACGTATGAACTATTAGAAGTGAAAAAGAAGCGCGATTCCACATGCCGAAACTCTGTAGATCGAGGTTCATCTTCGATCGGACGAAGTTGCATCCATTTATAGACCCAATTTGAGTACATTAGACCGACATAAAAAATCATGAAATGAAAAAAAAACTTGCCATCCCATGAAATCGTAACAATGATTCATGATTTCGTCATGGAAATTCATGGTTTCATAATGCAGTGGAATCAAGACCGCTACAAGCGTTACACGTACTTGGCAAACCGTGTTCATAAACCGCACTACATAGGAATCTCTTATACGCCTTTTGTCTTCCATTTTATACAAGTACTGATAGTCTAGTGGTCAAAGAATGGGTTTAATGATCTCAAGGTTCTTAATTCGAATCCAGTTTTTGAGGCCTTATTTTATTCTTTTTACATTTTTTGGATAAAAGTAAAACCCATGAACTTAGATCATGATTAGATTTCGGGTCATTCATGATTTTGGGAATGTTTGCTGCGCTACGCAAAAGTTGCTCATGATATCATGATTATAATGAATGTAATGAAAATCATGAATATAACATATAACATGAAATTACACTTTGTTCATGAAATCATGAGTTATTTGTCTCATTTCGGAGATCGTATTTTATCCCGTGTAGAATGTTTTTATGTTAAAATGGTGAGGTTAAACAACTTTCAGTCGTGTCTTATCAATATCCAAATAATACGAATATCTAAGCTTACATGTGGACAGTGAAATATCGACTGCAGCTCAATCATTACATAAGATAGGTATAAAATGTAATTGAAGGTGTCATATTAGACCGAAGTTAGGGACATATACCCTACACTTTTCATGGATTTCTTAAATAATTTCCTTATCATTTTACTACGCAACCACTAAATAGACATGACCAGCGAATACAAATAAATAAAGCAGATAGATCTATAGGCCAACATTAGAGCCATTTCCCCTACATAGCTTGATCGGAATCGAGAGAAGACATAACAAAAAAATTCCTATTAACACACGTGTATCATCTTCGGCTTTACTTCGTGATGCAGCTGGTCAAAAATTTGCTCGTTTCCTTCTACCGCCCCGAGTGAGCTGTGTCACACGAACTGTTTGTCATGAAAAAAACGGAAGGAGATTTTATCATTATTGCTTTACAGTTCTGACATAGCGTTATCATTCGGTTCGTTAATAGCTTGACAGGACACGAACAAGTTGCTCATCAAACACACATTTAACGGTCAATTTAAATATTTTTTAGTTTGTAGTGCCACCACTTTTGGCGCGCATAAAGCTCTGCCAATTAAGATTCGGTACGCTTTCAATCGTGTGTATCTCTGAATCTGTTCGTTTTAGAATAAAACGTTATTAGAAAAATGTTATGTATTTTTTGTTGTTTAAAGATGCAATATGGGTTTGCGATTTTTATTCCTCTTAAATTAAAATTCGAACTTTGGGCCAGGCTTGCCTAAGCTTCTCGAACTGAGATTAATCGTGAGCTAGTTCATCCCTCACATATAAGGAGCAATGATGTCAAATCCAAAGAGCGCAAAAGAGCTCGAGCTCAGATTGATGCTCAAGCTGGACTTCCACAAACACGCATCGCGATGAGTGTTTCTATCTCCGACTCTATGTATGTATTCCCGGCATAGCCCAATATCTCTTGAATCTCAACTGCGATTTTAGTTTTCGACACAAGAGATGGTCCGCTATACGATGACAAGACAGTTGAAATGCCGAAATTGTGGTTCAGTTTACAAACACGGGAGACATTAGGTTTTGCCTAAAATAGGGGCGTTTGCCGAGAATATAGAAAGTTACCCTACGAATACAATTGCCACTTTGGAGTTACCGAATATATGCATAGTCCATTCTATGCGTACGAGTATTGATGGTCCGAAAGTAAGGATAACAATAACAAACCATTTTTTTTTGCCTGAAGCGAAAGTGAGGATAACAAACTTCGCCCTTGGAAGTGGGATACATTCCATAATGTTTTTTTTTTCTTCATTTCTTGGTTGTGCACTTTTTTCTCGAATACAATACAAAACCACTCATTCATGCGCACTGGGAGAAGCCATCAAGAGCCAAGCTCTCTACGAATACATCACGAAGCTCCAAGTGTACTGCTTTGCGCGAGCGCATCACGAAGTTAAAATTTCTACTCGGTCGATGTACAGTGCACTGGCAGAGTCGATGTACACCCGATAACGAGCTCTGCATCCCTCTCAGCGATGCGGGTTGGAAAGAGCCCAGCTTGAGCATCAAGTATAGCTCCGTGAGATCAAAATATATCATCATCAAAAAATGCTGGAGCTCAGCTTATTGATGACTCTTGATGGAGCTTGTGGCAAGCCTGCTTTGGGCTTAATACGTGCCATCAGCTTCTGTACAAGCTACTGATCAACCTGCTGCTTTTTTTTGAGTATCTGACCATTGTAGAATCCTTAGTCATTTTACCACTCTTCTTCAGTTTAGCTTTGATGATACCCCAATACA